TGAGGGCTTAGGGTTTAGGAAGCTATCCAAAAATCTTGTTCAATCAGTGGCCCAGTACACAACCCAGTTTCCGTTTCATTTTCCATCTTCTTTGAATCTGTTTCTCTATTATGGCAGTTTAACCTTCAACTCACTGTCATGAGTAGTTCACGCCTTAAACCCTAAACCAGGGGGAAGTGTTTTGGCTCCTCCGCCCGCTGGCGTGCAAAGGTTCAGAGCTCCTAATGGACCTCTGTCCGACTTTGTAGATTTTCCTATATGTTGCAAGGGATCCTGACGCGCAAGGAAAGGGTGTAGGTGCAGTAGGGATTATATGGGAATCATCCCGGTTTAGGGTTTTCAGTGCAACCAGGGTTGAAGGTTGCGGGGCGCCTGCGCAGAGGCCTTGCTTGTACCATGAATTTGTTTGCAGATCTTTCTATGAAGCCTCCATGTCGGCAGTCGTTGGAGACTTCTGCCACGCACGAGGCACTCGACAGCCGCCCGAACCTTTAGGGTGGCCAATGGCGGGTGACCTCTGTCCCCCCCTTGCGGTGCTGTGGGCAATTGCATCTCTGTTGGCTCCCTTTAGAGTTTGGGGATAAGGGGTTTTGCGGTCGGACTAAGAAGACGAGGGTATAGAGGCTCTAGCATCTAGAGCAAGCACAAATCTTTGTGGAGTAATACTCTGAGATGTTGACGATACCCTTAAACCCTGAACCCTGACCGCTAACCCCTAAACCCTGAATGGGGCAGGTGATCTGAGTTGGGTCTAGCCAAGTGCAGTCTGTGTTTCTCGAAAGTGGATCCTGCAGGTATGCAGTGAGTAGAACAGGAACTGTAGACTTGCCCGTCAAGGAGTAGAGTTTTGATTAGAAAATTACGTGTCCTTTGCTACCAAAGCGTCACGCAGGGCAACAGCCCGAAGGCACGTTTTCATGAAGCATCATCATGCCTGTAATCCCTGCCTTGTCATATCAGACACACCCAATCCGCCAGCAAATCTGTGGGAAGATGCCGAGGGCCATGTCATATTCAGTATGTTGGCGGTACCTGAGTAGTCAATGCTCGGGGAAGGAACGTAAATATCGGGATCCCTGTAGTATTGGGTGGCTTTGATCCAATTCATGGCGTCCTCACAGTGCGCAACCTTATGCCCTGGGGTGTCTGGACCCTAAAGCTGCAGGTAGGTTTGGCGTTGGAGGGATTGCCGTAAACTCCGACACATGGAGTTCAAAAAGAATCTACATTACAGACCTCAAGCTCCCAAAAGCTTGAAGCCCCTAAACCCTAAACCCATAAATGCCTAAACCCTAAACCCTAAACCCCTAAATTGTACAGTCGGCAGCGTTTTCAAGTGGGAGCTGTAGGATGCTCACCTTCAGCCTGCGGGCACTTTCCTGCCGCTCCATGACTGATGGAGCTACAAGACCTTGGGTATCGCGCGCAGCTTGGTGCGAGAAAAGATGGCTTCTGAGTTGTAGCATTTGGCGTTTAGTCGTGGTGGTGGTCTTGCAGGACACGGAACCCGTGTTTTTTTGCTGTTTGGTCTTTTTTGTTGTTGGGTCCCTTAAAGACGATCCAGGCAGACCGGCAAGTGAGTGAACTCCCGTCCCCCGCCCAAACAGCGTTTAAAAAAAACAAGCCCCCCGCCCAAACAGCAACACAAATTAACAAATATGAAAATGCCACCGCCCAAACAGCAAAAAAAACAACACGCCCCCCCGCCCAAACAGCAAAAAAATAAACAAGCCACCCGCCCAAACAGCAAACAAATAAACAAGCCACCCGCCCAAATAGCAAAAAAAAATGAACACGCCCACCCGCCCAAACAGCAAAAAAAAACATGCCACGCGCCCAAACAGCAAAGGAATACACGCCCACCCGCCCAAACAGCAAAAGAACAAACAAGGCACCCGCCCAAACAGCAAAAGAATAAACAAGCCACCCGCCCAAACAGCAAACAAATAAACAAGCCACCCGCCCAAACAGCAAAAAAACAAACGACCGGAAGGGGCGGGGGCGTTTTTTTTGTTGTTGTTTGGGCGGGGCCCCCGCCCCGCCCAAACAGCAAAAATGAAACACGCACCCGCCCAAACAGCAGAAATTAACACCCGAAAAGCCTAAACAACGAAAAATACCAGACAACAAAAAGATAAACACTCTTGCCGTTTTGAGACTGACGCAGCATTTCGCATTATTCTTCGTCATGATTGTCGTCGCTCCTGTCATGGTCGTTGTAAGGCTGGATCTGAGAGACAACATCTGCTATTGCTTCCTGATGCTGTTGCCATGCTCAGAAGGGAAGCATGGGTTATGATCGTTCTCTATGACATCTCTTATGTGAGGTCAGATGCCTTATCCAAGCATCATAGCAAGACACCATCGACAGCTCGACAGTTGTACAAGTGGAGCGCTACGGGCATTTATCTTTAAGTCCTTAAGTCCTGTCATGTGCTCGTTCTCTGTTGTGATAGTTCCGGGTGTTTCCGTCAGCTGCAGCATGGCAATGGAACCAGTGGCGCAGGAAGTCTTCAAGCAGAGGCGTTTCTGGCATTACTCCTGCTTATATGTAAAGGGATGATAAGGCTCATGCTGGCAATCGTGCAAAATATGAAGGGCGTTAAGAAAGAGAGCCACGCGGGACCTTGGCAAACAGAAATTAGGCCATCCTGTAGATGGTCTCCTCATCCACGAATGGTGATATAGCTGGAACAAATAGAGGTTTCAATATAATCATATCCCGTGTCGTCAGTGAGCTGGGGGATCACCTGAGCCTTCTTGGCTTCTCTGTTCTTCGGGGTGCAGCATTTGAGGATGCCTTCCAGGAGTTGGATTTATGACATCTGAGAAAATTTCTCGACGGCTTCAACACAGCAGTTGAGGGTGGCTTGGGCCTGATGGAGTCATCCTGGCTGTTTTCGTTGACATTGTAGAGCTGGGAGACTCCTTGCTGGGGGACTCCTGTACTTGTTCCCGCTTCGCCCGGGCAACTTGTAAGCGGCAAATGCGGATGTGCATCCGAGTTTTGTTGAATGAGCCCGCATGTATCTTCTAGCATCCATCCGCAGCAACATGGGGTTCTGTTTACAATCCCAAACCTCAGCAATCAACGACACCTATGCTGCTACCGCTTCCCTACCCCTGCTGCTACTTCGAGTGCTCCAGCAATAGCTAGAGTGCGGCCGTGGCTGCTACCATTGCCACGATCATTATTGTTCTCACTATCACTATCACAGCATTATCACTACTACTAAAACTGCTGCTGCTGCTACTACTGCTGCCGCTAC